GGGGGGGTTAAGGAAGTGGACTTGGGTCCAGAAGGTTTCATGTTCCAGTCCACCAGCTGCCATGTTACCACTGAGGTGTTACACTCTGAACAGTTTGACAGTCCATCTCAGGGCCACATATAGAGACAAGAGTGCCCCCTATTGAGCATGTTTTTAGGCCATGGAAGGAAACCCCAGTACCTTGAGAAAACCCACGCACAGACAGGAAGAACATGCTAACTCCATACAGGATCTTCTTGCTGTGAAGACAAGAGTTTTACCAACATTTGTCACCGTGTGGCCCCGTAGTTATGGTCCCTTCCTTAAAGCTGCTCACTGGTCACTTTGGTGATGGGTTCAAAACAGAGGTCACATTTGGTTGTGTGTTGTGTCACAGTGACGAGGAGTTCAGTTTTACTTCCAAGAATCATTCATGATGCATTTCATTTCCCCACTCCCCACAGTATTTCACTTCTTGATTGTAATTTAGCAAAAAGCAAACTCTTGACCTTTGACCGTTGTCCCTTGACCTCTCCCTTCAGATGCCCTCAACACGAGGAACCGCCACGTCATCTGCAACACCCTGAAGGTCCTGCAGCATCTGGTGATGTCTGGAGAGATGGTGGGGGAGGCGCTGGTGCCCTACTACAAACAGATCCTCCTCGTTCTCAACATGTACAAGAACATGAACAGTGAGTCCCAGACATGCAAATGGTTGAGTGTTAATTTGTGGACAGATGGCGTAGCAAGTTGCCAGTGTGAATCATTATGTAAGCCTGGGCCTTTGTGTTATAATTCTCTGTTTAGCACAGTTAATATCAGTGAATTTGAGAACAGGCAGATATTTATAAGGCACACAGTGTGAGAAACTCTGAGAGATGTTGATGTACGGTTTGTACCCAGTGCTGTTGTTCTGGTTCTGTTATCCAGACGGACCCCGAAGAGCTTTGGGAAAATGCCTTACACAAATTTATTGTGATTTTCCTAAAGTTTCCTGTCTCCTTCCAGTGTAAACACCTGTCCCAGAAAGTGTTTTCTATTTTCCTGTCCCCCCCCCCCCCCCCCCCTCCCCCGTTTAAACATCAATTCAACATAGAAGCTCTGCACTTCCTCCCTGCTGTCACAGAGGGAGAGAGAGAGTCAGAGAGACTTTGTTCCTGCTCTCTCAAAAGCCCAACCACCTGTGTGGATTAGCCTCAGATCGGCCGTTAGCATGGTGTCCACTGATGTGGGGCCCATTGAAGGTTTAGAGCAGGAATCACCAGCTGTATTTGACCGAGGGTCAGGAGTTTTCAACATTTCGTGGCTGGACACTCAAATGAAATGAAATGAAAGTCAAGTTAAATAATTTTTGGATGTTTATTTTGGAATCCAGTTGCTAGCTGGATTTGGTTGGTGGACCGTCAGTTGATGACCATTTGTTTCGAGGCTCAAACATACACAACCATTAACTTTCACACAACTCCCTCTGAACAGTGAAAGTGTGAAGAGCGACATTGTCAATCGGTCATTCAAACACAAAAAGCTTTGGTGTCACAATCAATATTCAATTTGACTCTTTTCTCTTTAAAGCGCCAACATTATCAGTAGCTGTTTGCTGATGTCTGAAAAAGGTAAAAAGAGAAGCTGAATGCGATTACAGGCACAGAAGCAGAATGGAAGAGAAAAGCCTTGCCTTATTGGCAAATCTTTGTTTAGGTTGGCTGTCAAATCAATGCTCCAAACCACAGTGTGAAGTCTGAGCTTCTTCGTGACACGGCACATGTTCAGCTGTCGGCCGTTGGACTCCACCAGGAATAGTTGTAACCAGCAGAAATCTCGGCCTCGTAGTTACCGTGCCCGTCCATTTGTCTGTCCTCCAATGGGGCACATTGATTAAACCGGAGCCAACCTCTCACCTGGCAAACATCCCTTGTATTGACCTCTTCCTGAGAGACCGGTGTGTGCCAGGATGAAGGATCCATGCACTTGGCCAAACACTGATACTGGATCAGCCCTATTAAAAAAAAAACACACACACATAAAGGCTCCTGCATAGGTTCTGTCACGGTACAGTTGGTTAAGGCTGTATAATTAAACCTTAACCTAAACCTTTGTACGATGAACTTCAATCAGGTTCTATTGTTCGGAGCAGTTTTAGTCGTGCACTCGACATTTTCCGCTGTACTTTTTCTCTACTCTAAATGGAATTACAATGTGCTGTATTGGCTCCATGTTCTGTTCAAGACCTACAACCAGGCACGGAAGCTGGAAATCACTCAGTGCTTATATTTTGCTTAAGAAACCTTGGGGTCGTGGTCCCATTTTGGGTCGCCTAAAATTCAAACGGGGTCACCTGAAATGTCTAGTAATTATCAATGTTATAAATACAATATAAAATATTTTAGGGTCGCCTAAAATTCAAACGGGGGTCACCTGAAATGTCTAATAATTATCAATGTTATAAATACAATATAAAATATGTTTTCACCTAATTATTATACTTTATAAAATGATGATTAAAGACACTAGACACGATGTGAAACAACTGTATTATCCCACTGGTGTTTTTTCACCTAATTATTATACTTTATAGACACAATCTGAAACAACTGTATTATCCCACTGGTGTCGGTGGTGCAGAAACCAGCAGATCCACAAGTCTGACATTTAAAGAACTCCCTAACACTGTGCACATCTGACCATATCAGTAATGAAAACCAAACATCGTATTTACACATTCAAGCTCCTGGGGCTTCGACCAGCGGCAGCTGACCAGACACGTTAGCATTTTGAAATGCTACAACAGTAAACAGACTCTTGCTCTTATAAACAACAGCCTGTATTTGTAAAATACTTTAACTGGAGAAGAATACAGATGTATTAGAGTTTTGTCTTTGCTAGCTAACAAGAGTTAGCTGCTAGTTTTGAGCCAGCTGTAGCACATGCTAACGTTGTAAACACAAGTCCAATGATATCAAGTGAAAATGGAGCACATGCTGTACAGTATATATAAAGTAGATAAAAACACATCTGTTGAACTAAACTATAACTGGTAGTTAAAGGCCTTATGCTAACAGGCTAAAACGAGACGTTACATTTTTCTTTTGCTCACAGCAGACAAACGAACATCTGTAAAATATTTTGTTTCTAGTTCAAAAAAATGTGTTCCCTCACAAGCAGCGAGAATACCGTCCTTGTGCGGTGGGACTGACTGATATCTGTAGTAGAATATAAAAGCTTTTATTGTAGTCGATTTATAATGACTAAAATACACCTACGTACGCGACCGGGCCTCCTCTGGGTCAGTTGTCTCAGCAGGGGCCGGTGTGCCTGCCTTCAGCAGACAGGCAGCGCCATTGTGTTTGTGTCACAAAGCAGAACCGCAGGCCTGTGTAGCAGTGTGTGTGGTAACACATCACAACACGTCTCCTCTCTGGCTCTCCCACACTCCAACTCACTGAGCTCGCATGGCATCCCTCTTATCTCCTGAGCCACAACGGAGCCACTGTCCACTGTGTGCCAAGTGTGTGTGTGTTTGCATTTGTGTACATCTGTCTTCAATAGCTCTCTTGTTGTGTCTCAAACACTGTGCAGCTGCTGGATTCAGTATAAATGAAGGCCCCAGCTCTCCTGTCCCCGTCTCTCATTTCACTGTCGTTCACGTCCACCAGGCTCAAGCGCATAATCCTCTCCAACCAGATGTCCACGGACTCGCATATAGGCGCCGACGCACGTATCGCACACACTGCGTTAGCCGCAGCTGCGCAGCCGCATTCTGTCCCCCGTCTGCGGACTTGTTTGAGCTGTGAATCGATTGTAGGCTGACAGCCCCGGCTGCAGGGTCAGAGCCACGGTTAGATAGCAGCGATAGCACCTCACGACGGGACAGATCCCCTCGGCTGGGTTCACACGCCCCCGCCGTGTCGCTCCCACTCCCAGACAGGGTTGCGACCCGTTAAATTGGACTGTACACAGGCCTTATCTGAACCGTTTTTCTAAGGTCGGAGCTGGGACTAAACGGCCATTTCCAAAATGGACCCCTGGGTCTCCTTTCACTCAGACGCAGCATCAGACCTCTGACCAGCGGGCCACACTCCTGCTCGCCTACAGAAGCCCAGGCCTCTGAACAAAACAAATTCTTTAGTTAGGGGCCAACCGCCTCTTTAACAGCAATTTTTCCTCCCTGACAAAGCAATGTGTCATCTTGAAGTTTGCAGTAATGAGCAATCACAGTGTGGCCGTCCTTGGTGTAACCCAGTGTCTCCTGAATCAGCTTTTTCTCCTTTTGTTTGCTTTGCTCCTTTTGCCTATCAACGGTGTGTTTGTGTTTATGCACGCGTGTGTGTGTGTGTGAGTGTGTGTGAGTGACAGTGTTGGGGAGGGCCTAAGAATTCCTCCAATGTGATTTGCACGGCTCTCCTGTTTGCCTGCCGTGATGAATCTTATCCCTAATGAAATGCAACAACATTCCTTATGAGGCAGAGATGTGCTCCCTCAACCAGCAAATTCCTCTTCTCTGCTCCAAGGAAGGAATGAAGGAAGGAACTGCATTATCTGTGAAGGAAAGGAAGAGACATTAAGGAATGTTAAAAGGTGGCAGGGTTGAGAAAACAGTGCCTGGAACAGACCTTCTGGATCAGTCAGAGAACGGGCTGACATTAAAACAACAACGTCGATCTCCTACGAGTTCTTAATTGTTTTAAAAAGTAACAACAATTTGAACGCATTTTAATTTTCTAATTTTCAGCTAATTGGATGTAATATTTGTTTGTAATGGAGCCCCGTATTACCAGTGTTTGTTTGTTTGTTTTTACAAATATTGCGGGATTTTATAATAAAAAAACCATACATTTTTACTAAGAGGACAAAGACAGTAGGAGCTCGGAGGTGAGATCGTTTCTTCGTCGGCTAATGGGTGGCTAGATACAACTTTTCATGTTCGATACAGATACTGCAACCTGTAGTATCTGCGATACCGATATCGGTCCGATACCTTTGTTTCTCTCCCAGCATGCTGCAGGCTGCCATTGCTTATGTGATCGTGTGGGTTAAGTTGAGCATTTTGGCGTAAGTATCAGATCGGAGAGGCTGTAGTTGAGGTTTTGTTTTTAAATATTTGCTCCTAAATATATGATCGTGTGGGTTAAGTTGAGCATTTGGGCGTAAGTTTCAGATCAGACAGGCTGTAGTTGAGGTTTTTGTTTTTAAATATTTGCTCCTAAATTTTGGACCAATATCGGCCCAATACCATTGCTGAGTATCGGATCGAGCCGTCCCTACTTTGAATATTTTAGCAGCAAAGACAACTGCATCAAATGAAGGTGTGAAAATGATCAGCATTTCCTGCTCAGTAGAACCAGGTTCTCCAGACTATTCTGGTGTGAAGCACTCATTAAAAAGCTCATGTTAATGTGTATTTTTCTGCTTCTGTTTTAACCTTGGTGTCGTTCAAACACACCGTGTTTACAGCATCAGTGGAAGTTAGAAACAAAAACAAACAAGTGAACGTCACCTGTTGTTTTTTTTCTTTACTGCTCTTTGCACGAATAAAGCAGCAACTGCCAGGAACAACATAAAGGGGTGTTTTTATGACATCATCAGCGGCCGCCAACTTTTATTACACCAAGGACCTGTTGGCCAATATCAGGCCTTACTGCGGACTGGCAACACCGCGCCAAATTACTAAATAAATCATCTTTTAGATGTTATT